GATTACCCTGAGCTTCATGCTTTCAAACAACTAAGAGGCTTTGATGGCCTCGCTAACTTTTATCGCCGTTTCATACCTAGTTACGCTTCGCTTATACAACTCCTCACGGACCTTCTCCAAAGCAAGCTTAAGAAGTTCGATTTTCCTGCTGCAGCATGCGCCGCCTTCCAGACTTTGAAAACAGCTATCGCCAACATAGCTTCTATAGCGCATCACGAGCCGGCAGCCCCACTGTCACTCAGTACCGATGCTTCTGACGTAGCAGTTGGGGCAGTCTTACGACCAAAAGTAGGTGACGCATGGCAGCCGCTGTCATTTTTCTCCAAACGTTTGCAACCTGCCGAATCTCGTTACAGTGCTTTCGGTAGAGAACTATTAGCCATTTATTTATTCATACGTCATTTCCGACATGTCTTAGATGGCCGCTCTTTTGCCGTCTGCACCGACCACGAACCCCTGATTTACGTGCTCAGCTCGACTACCGACCGAAACTCTCCTAGAGAGTCGCGCCACTTAGACTACATCGCTCAGATTACCACCGATATACGACATGTCTCAGCTGCGCACAACAATGTCGACGACGCACTTTCCCGAATTCAAGCGATCTCTGCGGACGCTGGCACCGTTATTGACAACACAGCTATGGCCGCGGCGCAACCCAATGATCCTGAGGTTGATATAATACGCAGGTCTTCCTCACTGGACATACGGCCCGTTCCGCTAACATCATCAGACGGAACTATACTTTGCGATTTATCTCTGGGCACGCCAGGCCTAGTCGTTCGTCGCGAGTTTCGGTAGGCCGGGTTCGACAAGTTGCACGGCTAGCTCACGCAGGCGTTCGTACATTAGTTAAACTCGTAACCACACGGTTCGTCTGGCGCAATGTCAATCGTGAACTTCGTATTTGGGCAGCTGCTTGCCTTCCGTGTCAACGCGCAAAAGTGCATAAGCACACGAAAAGCCCAGTAGGAACATTTCCCACGCCAGCTGCACGTTTTCACCAAGTACACGTCGACCTCGTAGGTCCTCTGCCACCTTCGAAAGGCTCTGCATTTCTACTGACCTGTGTCCATCGATTCACTAGGTGGCCGGAAGCTATTCCCATACTTAACTGCTCTTCGGAAACGGTAGCGGAAGCTTTCCTAGTGCGCTGGGTAGCTACATACGGCTGTCCCGCCATCGTGACCACCGATCGAGGGTCACATTTCTTGTCGTATTTTGCCACGTTGCTTAAGGAATTAGGCTTTCGCCACGTTCAGACGACGGCGTATCATCCGGCCGCTGACGGTATGGTGGAACGTTTACACTGCCAGTTGAAGGACGCGCTACGTGCGCACGCAGATCCTCCATGGTCTGAAACAGTTCCTCTCGTCCTCCAAGACTTAAGAAACACTGTAAAAACCGATTTCGATGCGACACCAGCGCAGCTGCTCTACGGCTGCACACTGCGGTTGCCCGGACAGCTGATAGCACCAGTCCTGTCTACATCGTCTCATGACTACGGAAGTTACGCCGATCGACTGGCTCACCAGATGCGTGAGCTACGTCCACCCGCTTCACGATCGCAGAAGATACAAGTGTGCGTGCCCGAGAAGCTGTCTACTTGTTCACATGTCCTTCGCGCAGACGGCGTTCAACATCCTCTTCAGTCGCCGTACATAGGACCTTCCAAAGTGCTACACCGCGCGAATATGATGTACACTAACGAGCGCGGTGGCCGACGGGAAGTCGTCATCATCGACTGTCTGAAGCCTGCCTTTATGGAAAAAACCACCTTGCCTCCTTCGTTTGGTAGTGCTGGGTGCGGCCTCACAACTGACCCCACCAACTGTCAGTATCCTAAAATAGTTCAACCAGACCACGATCTCGGTCTGCAAGCGTCAGCCGTCCCGACATCTCCCGAATCAAGCCTGCTGCCTCCCACGAACATTCGCTGTGATCGCGAGGTGCGTAAGTTTGTTCGTTTTTCTGACTATCTACAGTGTATATACGTTAAGGTTTGTAGAGATTGTATATATTTGCCCCGTTTTTGGCCGATTAACCCTTTGAAAATAAACAAAAATATCAAAAACTGAAGAAACGTATTCTTAAAAAATAATCAAAAACCAACAAGCTTAACATGTAGATCATTCGTTCACCTTTTCTGGTGTTTTCTTTACGTGTCTTTCCATTTTCTCGTTTCTACATGCTCCAACCCTTCCCTTCGATCGACTAGCCCACACGAGCAATGTTTTCGAGGCTCTGCGCAGTCGACGAAGATCCTGACCCCAGTGCTGGTCGTTTCTCCGTGAAACGAGGGTCGTTTTGGCGCGGGCTGTGGTGTGTCTGGGGGAGAGACCATTCCCAAGCGCACCTTTTGGCAGCAGCGGAGGTTGACGTACTCTCGACCGTTTTCTGGGCTAGCCAGTATTTTCTATAGTCCGACAAGCCCGCTCCAACGGCTCGTCGAAATGCACCCTGCCCTGCAATCAATAAATAATACATCACAAACGGCACAGCGGACTTCAACCTCCGGCGAACCCACTATTGACCCCAACGCCCATTCACACACTTGGCACGGTTTTGCCCAACCAACTTCGATTCAGCTGTCATTTTCGACATCGAAGGCTACTTTTGTTTAGCCTTCTAGTGAGGGAGCTCTGTAGCGCCCCAGAAGACAACTATTATCTTTTGTGTACAATTGCAATGATGATCAACTGTACACTACTCTTTATTGTTTTAATCTCCTTTACAGTACTTCCATGTTAACCTACATCCGGCTCGACACTTGACCGTCCTGTAAGTTCCCGCGCACACGTGTTTACTCTTGTCTCGCTTCATCTGTCCGCGTCTTCTTGTAGCCCTCGAAATACAGTCCGCTGTTTCCGACTCCAATTGCCTTCTGATATCCGCGCTTAATTTCGCGCACCGTCTCGGACTAGTATTAACTAGTCCTACAACTTCTTATGATGACTTCAGTCACCTTGGTTGCCAGATTTGAATCATTTCCATACGAATAACATCTTTTCGGGGATAGGGTGACCAAGCGGGAACACAGTACTGCAGATGTGGCCTAAATACGGCTTTGTACAATGGCAGGAAATATGGCTTGATGTTACGTAGGGCCCTCTTAAGAGGTGAAACAATTCTTGTCGCGTTCTGTTGCCAACTTGGCGACACTGCACCGAAGGCTTCAGAATGCCACTATGATGACGTCTGCATCACGAGCAAAATGAAAGACTCTAAAGCAGTCTGCATTGCAATCTCGTCGCCACTTGTGGCCAATAATTGACACTTGTTGGCATTCATATTTCTCTAGGTTTTATTCCTGAGAGCAACTTTCCACTTTTCATGATGCTATTTATTGAATTATTCCGCTTTCGTAGATTCTTCTCACTTTATTCCTGATTAGTCGATTAATGTTTGTAGTTTGCATGAAAACACACAACGCTTTAAGAACATCGCGGGTATAGGTTATCATGGTCCAGATTGTCGAAGAAACCGTAGGTCAATAGAACAATTGGTTCTAAAACAAAGTATCATCGAAAGCGTGTGTCAGTGGTTTTTTGAAAGAGGAAACTTTAGAGCGCAAGCAAGTTTGAAGACCTTGCGCATGTGCGTTTTTTAGGACTGGTTATACATTTAACCGTGGAAGAGGATGCATCCCTCTAAGAAGTAATTCATATGAAGTTCCGAAATGCCTCCCCTTCAAGGTGAAATACCACTGTTACACTTTTTGCATTGTCTTTACGATCGAGATGAGAAAGTTGCATGCCGACCGAGCCTCCTGAGTCCTAGCTTTCCACAGAATTTGAACATAGAGTAGTTCACACCACCTTAACACGCGGTTGGTCCTGTTAGTAAACATATATTGTGCGGGAGCGGGGATAACCTGCAGTTGCTCACACTGTTTCGCAGCGATCTGGTGTGTGCTGCATTCTTGCCCAATTATAAGTGGAATACCAACTAAAATTCACTACTCGGTCACAACTTCCACTTCTCTCTGAAGAAGCCAGGTAAAGCGATTGCGCTTTTACCTTACGTTGGTGAATATACCATTGAACAAACTAGTAAAACGCACATTTATGTGCTTGACTTGAATTGTGACCTGGAAATGACGACTGTCATTTCGAAGGTACACCGACACACACTGCAAATAAAGCGTGGCTGAAACGCTAAATGAATCAAAGAAATACCCAGAGATCGTCAGCTTCACATCTGTATTGCGGTTTCAATGACGTCAGATCTATAATTTAAAAGCAGGCATATGTAATCTGGTCAGTAAAATTACGTCGGAATTTTGCCTCGATGCTTATCTCACCGGAAGCGTTTGTGATGGGGAGCCATAAGTTGGTAGACGTTTGTGGTATCACCAAAAGGCTAAGAGCATCACGCGCTAATCACTCTAATGAAGAACAGCTATCTGTGCTTTGAAAGACCTCATAGTCGCCCAGGTGAAAGGAGGAAATATATAGTTACTTTTAATCCAATCCAAGTAACGTTTCGTTTATTTGCTGTAACTATAATCTCATTGTGTATTCTGAATCAGTTACAAAGAGTGCTGTAGCGATTGTAAATAATTGGCTTATTTTTCATTTTCACGCTTACCTATTTCGCTGCAGTTGCTGTACAGCTTTGTTTTAATTAACTATATATACATACGCTTGGTTTCGAGATCATCTTCCGTGCTTCTCCCTTGGTTGCCACTGGATTGTTGTGATTGTGCGCATCGCTGCCTGCTCTACTCACGATCGGACTCTACGTACTCGTACACTTCAGCATACCTCGTGATTTACGGTCGTCCGACGCTTAGGCGCATCAGGATATTTTATATATGAGGTAAACCTGACTGACTAGGTATTCTCCTTTACCTGTTCCTCCACAGTGCTTAACTTTTAATCTTCAGCTTTGCTTTCAAGCTACTTCTTACTTCGACACAGTTTAACTACTATGTCCTAGAATGGGACACAGACCATTACTGCACTGTGCTGTTGTGTAACAGAAGAAGACACATAGATTGCAACCAGTAAACATAAATTGGTGCCTGTAAAATAAATGAAACAAAGATAAAAGGAGGTAAAAGGGAACTGTTACTGATGCTCCCAATCTCTCGTCGTCAAAAGGAAAGCATTTTCGGACATGTCCTTCAGCGGCGGCTGGTTTCACAGCAATAAGCTCACAGCTATTCGTTAAAATCGCCTTTTGTGCTTGCTAGAGGACATGTGACAGAAGGACGTGGTACAGCCAAGTTGTTCGGCCAAATTCTATGCATCTGTAGATGCGGAGTTTGCCTTCGTCGAATCATTGACAGTATGTTGTTCAGCCCTGACCACATTTCGTAGCATCTTGCTAGCAATCGCGTATAGGCTGACCATACTCTATGGGGACAGCAAGTGAATAAAAAGTTAAGCATATGATTTGGAAAATCCAATCTCTTAAGTAATGTAGAGGAGATTAATAAAGCTATTCTACATTTTCACCCCAATGGCGAATTGACTTGCAGCTTTCCTAATCCATTTGTGGTCAATTTCAATCTAAAGCGACCGCACACGGTGGCAACAATTTTAGTCGCAGGTTGCGCTTGCTAAGCTTGACTAGTTTACCACCTTCCATGTAAGTAGCTCTAAGCTCAGAAAAAGAATTAACGTGGGAGCACAGGATAGTTTGTCTACTCTGACCCGGCACATTTTATAAGATGAATTATTACTAGGTTAACTGAAAGCTACAACCAGTTTGTGGGTGTTTATATGACAGTTCACGTAGGTACTCCAAATTGGTAACCCACCACCTTGAAAGCGCATGAGAACTACTCAGGGTTCTTTGCGGTTTTTACGCAACATGCTGTCTGGCGTGCTCCCATGCAGAGCACACAGTGCCCAGCTCATTAACTCCGGCTGGTCTAAAATACAAACTCTGTTACTCCACCTCACCTATCTTACAAAGCACTTCGTAACCCCGACTACAGCCCCTTTCCACAAAACATTCACTACAATTTCGGCATCAACTTTGCCTTATGGAAACAGGAAGTTTCAAAATCTTCGAAGATACTTGGAACTTCCGAGAAGCCATGAAAAGTTTGGTAACGATCGGTTGGTATGGTTGATGGGAAACATGTCGCGTTTGACACAAAAGCTTCATCAGACCAGGTGAATCAGTGTGCAATTGGAATGGCATTTTCTAACCTAGAGGTCATTAGGAGGGGTGAACAATAAATGTCCCAGTGGTCGAATTCCGAGGTGTTGGAAATTACCAAATCGGACAGCTGTCAGTGCGTGGATCAGAGTTGAAAGTCCAACTCGACTCCCATTGTCGCCACTATGAGCTTATGCGTCAGTGCCATGACACACGAAGGAGCACCTGAAGTGTTATCACTATGAATCAACCCCCTGGGGTGAAATCTCTATCTGTGACTGTAATGTCACCGTGCCTCAAGTCTCGGGTATCGTGCTTATTGTCCCTCTCCGCTATAAAATGTCACTCCAATTGCACACTGCAAGCAGGTATTTCTTTGTTGCTCCATACTTAATTCAGATTCGCAGGAATAATCAGCTAAGCTTTGAGATTTGCTGTAAAGTTTAGAATATGCTCAAGCACAGTTCCATATGTCTTATGCGCTATAGCATAAGTTCATAACCAGGTGATTTTACTATATGTCTCATGCACGATGCCCTAGATGGTGTTGGATGCATAAAAGTAATCTTTTAGTTGAGCCATCTTGGGTTTATTTGCCGTCATCTGGTTTCAATAGCAGCACTACGCTTACGCCATTCAGTTGGTATTTCAACGTCTCTAGGGTTTATGTACACATTTTCGTATTTGAAGTACGCCCAAGGAGCCAACTCTTCTTTCCTGGTTCAACGAATCTTCGCTGCACGAAAGATGAAACTGAAGGGAGAATAGTCATCATTATGCTCCAGTTAGTAGACACCGCAAGCTAGCATTGCCCTGGACGTCCTCTTCATTCCTTCGAGGCCCAGTAACAATACCATTTCTTTTTGACTGATGAGAAATAAAACTCTATTCTGCCATCTTTCGGGGCGTCGAATAAGGGCAATGTATTGGGGAAATGGTGGCTTCCCGCATCCCTCCTAACGCGGACACCAATCTGATGGTTAAGTAGAACCAATGGGATGGGGATTGCCAAACGTCCAAATCTGTGTAATATCTCGATTGACTGGTTAGCTAAGTGTATTCGCGACAAATTGCCGTTAAGACTGACAAAAATCCTTTTAACACTGACGCATCATGATTAAGAAATAGACGTCGGAACATTACTGGTGGTGGACGTGTTTGGACACGTGTCCAGGTGACTCACACGGCAGTGGGTACCTGCGCATCATTTGACCTATCGGGAGTCGGGCTACCTCCCCAGTGAAAAGCATGCCGCTGGTTTGTGAGTTGGGATTCAGCAACAACAAGCGAATCTTGTACGAATACCGCCACTCCCTGGAAGCCAAGTCTACCGTGACACGGTGCTGAGGTCAGATATATGCCTACCGGATAGTGAGTATGCGACTAAGTTTGCATGAGTCTTTTAACACTTTTACAAATAACAAATCCGTTCATTGCTAGAATACAGTACCATGATATAATGCGATTGCATGGTGACCGTGTAACCTCAGAGAGAGCAGCGGTCGTTTGCCAAGCGTCCCAACTTATACTCAAATATATCATCATGTATGGCTCGATGCAGCACCCTATAGTATGAGCCATTAAAGCTGCATCAAATGAAGCTTAACCTAATCGTCTTCTTTGATATCCCAGATGCAACAAGTTGAGTAAATCACAAAATGCTTAGTGCTCCATGTAGTTAGTTTCGATATAAACTCTTCTGCTTCTAGATTGTATGTATCCGATGGACTTATCTGGGAGTAATTCATAGCTCCATCTTGTATATTAGTAGTTCGAATGGCTATTTGATTTTTTTCGATCTCTGTGTGCAACCTCTAGCAGGCCATGTCACGTACCATATTGAAATGTACCATTTCGCTGTTATTATTATTATTATTATTATTATTATTATTTCACTTTATTTCCACATTTTGCTTGCTGTTCTCTCTTGGTCCGGACTGGGCCTATTTCTTGAGGTGATGGATCTTGGTTTCTAAGCTGGTCATTGCATCCACGTAACAGTTGAATGATGGCACTAGCTGGTTGGCTGGCTACCTTGAGTTCTCATTCCGTATGAACGTAACAACGGTCCTAAAGCCGAGTAAGTGCAGATATGGCTTATTTGCCTATAAGGCACACTCACGACTAACAGATTGGCCTTGCAGTTCGGATGAAACCTTTCGAGATATCACGCCACATAGAAGCAGGTGCCCAGGGGGCGATTCCAGGGATGGCTGCGGTACTCATTCAAATATTAGGCTACATCTAAAATTATTCTTACTTACAACTTCACCGTATTTCTAATAGAATCAAGTGGCCGACAAACTGGAACACGTCTGTGAGCCGCCTCAAACAAACTGGGCAATTCTATATTTAAGTAACTTGAAAATCCCCATTTAAGTCTCTAGAACGAAAGACCATCTGGTGAGCAATTGCTTTCAATAATACCTCATCAGACCATTACAACCATATGGAGGCTAGAAAGAAAATCGACACAGTTAGTTCAAAACGACTTGATCACGTGAAGCTCTATGTCAGAGTTGAGAAAACAAATTAGGTCTTAGAGGGCTAGTTGTTTGCTACCGCGTCTGACCGAAGGCAGTCGACCTGGGCGTCTACCCTCTTCGCTGGCCAGGGAAGGTGAGGAGTCTGGACCAGCTTCTTCTGTGAGCAAAAAGACGGCTGGAACAATCGAATGCATATTGCTTCAGCTGTCGCAAGCGTACGAAGGCGGTAACCTTTCGTTCGGTGAGGCAGAACCTTGTAAACTAATCGGAAAGCGCATTTCCAATACACCTCATAGCCGGTGTCCACAATGTGGGCCAGAATGGCGAACAACTAGTCCACTAAGACTTAATTAGCTTTCTCATCTCTGACATAGACCTGCACGTGATCTGTTTGTTTTGAAATAACTGGGTCGATTTTTATTTTTAGGTTCCATGTGATTGTAATGGTCTGATGATGGTTCATTGAAAGCAATTCTGTATTTATCGTAGAAGGCAGAAGTCACGATTAAACTCCACACGAAAATCTGCCTCGACGGGGAATCGAACCCCGGTCCACGAATTTCCGGTCCGCTGCTCTACCACTGAGCTACCGAGGGCTGACGATTAGGTGCGGAATTTAACACGTAACTTCTGCTTAGTGCGCGACGTATTGCCAATGAGCTCATGGACGGTTACTTCGGTCCACTGGGAAGTGACGAGTGAGTGAGCCGATCTGCAACACCAGGTCAGTTACTGTGAGCTCATTGGCAATACGTCGCGCACTAAGCAGAAGTCACGTGTTAAATTCCGCACCTAATCGTCAGCCCTCGGTAGCTCAGTGGTAGAGCAGCGGACCGGAAATTCGTGGACCGGGGTTCGATTCCCCGTCGAGGCAGATTTTCGTGTGGAGTTTAATCGTGACTTCTGCCTTCTACGATACTTACGTTACTCACAAACATCCTTCAAATAATTCTGTATTTGTTGGTAAAAATTCATCACATCTAGACTTAGACAGATATTACAAGCTCGGAAAAGGATTGTACGCGCTTTTCATCCTTGCGGGAATCGTCAGCAGTGCGCGTTCCATCTGACCCTTGCAGGACACGGACCGGCAAAACTCGACTGTTACCATGTCCGTAGTTGAGACCACTGAGCTACGGGGATGGCAACGACCATCTTCAATAAGTTACTAGACATGATATAGCGCCGCTCTATTTGTACTGACTTGAATGTTACTGCTGTGCAGAGGACACGGTCTCCCCTCACAAGCGACGTAACTTACCAAGCTAAGCCACCAAGTAAATCATGGTAATATATGCAGTTCTACTGCTTTACAACATTTTCGGCCCAACGCTCCAGAAGTTTTGACAAGCTGTGGATCGACTGTCCGTTCTGGTCGCATATAGTCTCCGAACAACTTACCAAGGGAAGCGACTGCATCCATTTCCGACGCACGAAACCACCACTAGGATCCGCCGTCACTCTTCAGACTAACGCGAAATTCGGCCTGAGGTTTTTTCGAGTCTGTTTTTGTTCGCTTCCAGCCAGAATGTGTAGGCGACCATCTAAAAGGTCCAGAGGAAGCGTAGAGATCCAAAGTCCAGATTTGCGACTTGATTTACCAAATTAAAACATAAGTGTTGATAATAACATCTGGCAGATATGTTTCCATTGATCGTCAACCCTATTCGGTGAACACTTGGTTAATCCGCAAGCCAGCGTACTTTGATGCACAATCAGAATATCTGATTTCCCCAGGTGGCCAATATTTATGCGCTCAT